CACTGGTATCTAAGAAGAAGAAAAGAAATACAGAAAAGAACGGGAAGTTGGCCTTCAACATGGAAGCACGGATGATGCCCGATTTTTCATCTCCTGCGTACCGGCTGGCACCTTTCTCTTTGAGTGTCTGAGGGAGCGTGGTTTCTATCACGCACGCTTTGTGGCCGATGATGACGGTCGCCTGTTCGGTGGTGATTCACGCCTTTGGACCTCAGGTAGATTTGCCATCCTTGCAGAGGACAGCTTTCCATCGCTGGCTATGGATCCGGTTGGAGTCCTGGACCATGTTGCTTCTGATCTTGGTGCCTCCAGCCCTGGTGGTGCTACTGGTGGTTTGGGCTCGCGCATCATTGATTCAGTTCTTCAGGATTGGATTCACCAACTTTATGGTTCCTCACCTGGCCCTTGGTGCTTGAAAGCTCTTTGGGTGGACTCAGACTTTCAATTGACATGTTGGGGAGATCCTCGCTCCGCTCGCATATCGCGATCACTGGGATTTGCTCTATGGGCGTGAAGGTCCAACTGGATGGGATTGGTTCTACTTAGATGGCATTGCAAATCGCATGACGGAGGCAATGAATCATCTTGCAAAGCAGTTGGCGACTTTGCTGCAGGCTGATTTCTTGGGGGTCAAACCTCGTCGACTGATTCATCAAGAGGATTGCCACCCATGTGGAACTATATTCTTCTGGCCAATGCTGCCTCGCTTCTGGGCTTGATTGGCACCTTTGAAGATGACCACATCCAACAGCTTCATGCCTGGCTCCTTGGACACTTTCCATACAACGCCCCTTCGCCGGGTGGGCTCCTGGGCTTCAAGGAGAACCGGCGCAACTCTTAGCCACCAAGGGAGTCCCGGCCAACACTGCATTTGAAAGAGCAGGTGATGCCATCTCAGCACTAGGCTCAGACAAGCTGGCTGCGGCTATGAAAGCTAAGAATCCTTGGCAAGCACTCAAAGGGGTTGCCAATCAAGGCAAGAAGCAATTCAAGTTCGTCCTCTCTTGGGAGTTGCAAGACCACATTGAGAAGCGAGCTAAGGAAAAACATGGGGCACATCTCCCACGTGAGAGGAAGAAAGACAAGCCTACAGCAGATCTTCCTGCTGTACCCGACCCTAGTCATTTGCAGCTCCACACGAACCACTTCCGTGATGCTGACGGCGACTCTCTCCCACAGATTGAGTTCACTGATGTCTTCAACGACGCCAGGGGAATAGCACTCTGCACCAAAGCTGAAGCCACGCCGTTCATTCAACAGGCCAAGTCCATTTCTGCGCAAGCTCTTGCTCTACACATTGTTGAGGAAGTTCCAACGGCTGAACGGGGGATTGCAAAAGTGGGGGAGACTCGTTTTCCAGCCACTTATACTGCAACAGATGATCCGGTGCTCATTCGTGGTGCCATGCTGCAGTTGGGAGATATCACAGTGATCCGCGCCGGACCTCTGGACCCCATGGGGCCTCTGCCACTCTGGCCACCACCGTGGCGATCAAGCTGGCGGTGTACCGGGATGAGTTGAATTTGGAGTGGCCTGAATTTGTCAAAGCGTCAATCAAGCATCTTTTGGCATTGGTTCCCTCGTTAAGGCTTTGCAGAACTTCTCCGTGCCCAGATGGATCTCGATGTGGACTCTACCATCCTCCCGTGGATGAAATGCCCGACCCTGAGGTGTTTGCCCTTCGGTCGACCGCATCGGCTTGTGGTCCCACGGTGCTCTGCGCCTTGTGGTACGCCGCTTGTGCAGAGGGATGCCTGCGAGTGACCGGTTATGTTGATAGCTCCTTGACGGCTCCTGAGAGGAGCGCCAAGCATCGTCAGCAAATCTCTTAGTGTTCATTTTCTTGGCCCCTGGCTGGTCGTGCGCCCGTATGGAAACAAAGTAACAAGCGCATCACGCACCACTCAGGTCCTTGGAGCCTTGAGCTGTTCGTGAGGTGTGCTATGAGGTACGTTCAGCGCCAAGGACATGGAGTCTCTAATCTCGGATTTGTTAAACTGCATTGGCGCACTGCCTCGAAGCATCTAGGCCTGGCAGGTCAGCGGCAGATAAACCGGGCGGCCGGCTTGGGTTCGCTGATGAGTAGTCGCAAAAAACCAGTAAGCAGATTGATCGCTCAGCGCTCGGTGTACCCACTGTTTCTTTCACCGATGCCTTCTTCGAGCATCCCGAAGCTCCGAAACCACCCAAGGCGGAAGTCGGAGGAGTGAATCTTCAGCGCACGCACTGAGTCGATGTCAGGATCTTTCTTGGCAACCACCTTCTTCATTACTGACCGATTCATCGACGCTGGTACGAAGTCCTCGAATCTTCGAGCCTGAGCGTCGTACGCTTTGATGGCAATCGAACGCTGATGCAACCCACTCCCGCGAGAGACCAGTCGCATTCTTCGTGGACAACAATGGTGTCCCCGACCACTCTTGAGAGATCGCGCAAAGAGCGACCAAAGTTGGATCGCCTCGAAGCCAGTCCTTGTTTGAAAGGGAGCATGATTTTCATGTCCTAGTGCGCCAGAGTGCAAACTCGCGCTAAACCCGGCGGATGCGCCATCCGGATGAGAAGTGGCAAAGCTCTATGGATATGTCAGGGGCCAGAAGCGCCAGTTTGTGACTGCACAAACCGCTTGATGTCATATGTGATCAAACAGACGACGGCGACCGTGTTTGAGAAGGGGGAAAGAGGACGGCCTCGTGAGAATCCCCGATGTTGGTTTAAAAAGGAGTGCGTGAATTGCGTAAACGAAACGCTGACTGTGTCGACCGTTCAATGTGTGCACTCGCGTTCTGCGTGATGACTTGCATGATTCACATGTTCCGTTTACATGTATTTCAATCAAATGCTCAGTGCCTTTGTACGCACATGGATGAATGGGCACTTCGCACGAATAGCCACCTGTAAGATTAGCAATAAAATGTAACTCAGCTCGCTGATGCATTTTTATTGCATTCGTCAGTGCTTCGCAATTTAATGTCCAATGTCAAAAACTTCTTCAAGAGTTTGAGGACAGGTTTGATGCAGATAAACAACTGTTATGCCATAAAGTACCAAAATTGAGTCAGAGTTTTCGGTTGTAGCAACTTCAGCACATTGATCAGATTGTTCAACCGTCTCCAGGCTCAGATGCTCGTGTCATGTCCTTGCGATGCATCATGTTGTAGTGACCACGCACTTGACATCGTCATACTCTCGCAACGCATCATGTGTGGTGACCATGCGTTTGGCAGTACTTCGCATATCTTCAATGCATACAGGTGCTTACTTAATTTTTATGCCCGCCCTCCACTCCCTGTGGAGCCACTTCGTGCCCTCAAATACTGCATCCTTTGTCCATTCCTCGCCACCATGGGCGACGGTTTCCATTTGCCTAACCCAGCCGTCGAAAGAGGACGGCCTCGTGGACGGCCTCGTGAGAATCCCCGATGTTGGTTAAAAAGGAGTGCGTGAATTGCGTAAACGAAACGCTGACTGTGTCG